TCACTGCACTGATGTTTGAACCTAATAGGTACCTACTTATATTGCTGGAATAGAGAAAAAAATCTCAGATAATGGTTTTCCCAAGGACACTAAACAAATTTTTTCAGGGGGACATGGGGCCCATTTATATAACTCTCTCAACATGGATTGATCAACACAGATGAGTGTTGTATTATGCTCCAGATTACACATGATTACAGTATTATCTGGACTAGGCTACACGGAATACTTGCGGAGTTGGAGTACCAACTCGTTTCCTTGGGCATGAGTTTGACCGTTCGTGGAAACACCAGGGGCGGATTACTATAAGCGGTCTTTAGACGGTATTAACGGTTAGCCAGCTGTAATCGTGACGTTGCTACTGGTCTGTGGTTATAGACCATTGCTATACCACGGTCAACCAGTTAGCCATCTTAAATTTTAAAGCATCTCAGCATTTGTAATAGGTCTACGGCGTTTATTTATGTTCATTTCGATACATTTGCGTGTTTCGAGCACGCACAATGTCGCCCTCAATCTTACGTTACCAGGGAGTGCTTGTTTGCGTTTCAGTACCTAAAGCGGTCTTAGGGAATACTGTTTTATAGCAATGGTCAGAAACTACTCTCACACTATCAAGACCTACACTGCGATTGGTACACGACCGACACCGAGATGTGTATAAGAGACAACTATTATATAAACCCCAAATATATGATATACCTCAAATATTCTATACTTGGCATATGTATTATACTATCTTACCAAATATATGACTAATTCATACAATACTCACTAATACAAAATAGTAACAAGGGCCTACGGTTTATAATCCTTATCCAAGAAACCGGCCACGAACCCGTATCGATATTGTTGGCTATGATTACGATGCCCCTGTCTTAACTGCTCGGCCATTATGTTCATAATTTCAATCTTGCAAGTATGTAATTGTATTGCATTGTACAGTACAGTACTATACAGTCACTATATAGAATTTATATTGTGGTGTCATTCATTAACCTTACTATTAAGGTGCAATACTAAGTTTGTAACTAATAATATTTGGCTTCATTTTATAATTAATGCACTGGGTAATTGTCTAATTACGGCAGAAATCATTTTTACATAATAATTAATACTATTGGAGTGGTGCTGTAGCTTTGTTAAGATGCTTGTCTTTCAAACTTATGGTACTTGAGTTCAATTTTAGCCGAGTGACAACATTTTTCTCAAGACCCAAGAAATCCCCGCTTCTACACCTTACAAAGAGACATTGTATTTTGTTTTTTTTAAATATTATTTTACTTAACTTGCAGGGATATACGACACCACATGAATTCATTGCATGTCAAGGTAAGCAATGATACGATTTGGAAGATGGAAATATGCACTTTATTCGTGTCTGTAGTTATGTTAATAGTAATAGTTCAAAAACCTGATTATATTAAGATTAATATTTTTTTATATTAATTATTAGTTTATTTTTATTTAACACCTGACGTATGAAAAATAATTGTGTAGCCCTTTAAATACCATCATAGCATAGGTAAATTACAACAACTGCGCGCTAATTATGTAGGCCTATTATTTATTCCGCGTTTATAATTTCAGGTCCAAATGTTGCGTCAGTCAATGATATGTGGAGAATGATCTGGCAGGAAAAGTCAACGATAATTGTGGTTGTTACTAACGTCGTTGAAGGAACCAAGGTATTTGTCCTGGGCTGGGTGTATGGGGTAGGATGAATTAATTACGGTAATTGTGTGAAGATGTGTGTAGGACTGAGTGTAGCTCAATGTCATCCTTTGCAAATAAGTTGTAAATTGAAACTATTGTGATTTTTCAATTCATGAAGACTGTTTATTCTATTTATTTTGTAGCGAAAATGCGAGCAGTATTGGCCAGAAGTAAATGATGGTAAAATATATGCAAACATTAATGTAGCGAACGCCGGCGAGACCAAATATGGACATTTTGTGGTTAGAAATCTACACCTTCAGAAGGTTTGTTCTCTCAAATTATCAACCTTGTTATCAATATCAAAATCATTGAAAACTTGTTTAATTTTTTAAATAAAATTATATGTATGGAGATTGCTTCGTATTTTAATCCTAATGACAAATTGCTTTTTCTGTTTTTTGGTTGATAAAAATAATACATAATGAAAAGTAACATTTATGAAATATCTGCGTTTAAGGAAAAATAAACTTACATATTAACATATCTGATTGTTTTACGTTGAAGGTTGGGACGGAAGAGGTACATAATGTTTTTCAATATCATTTCACTGATTGGCCAGATAAGAGTGTTCCCCAGGCTGTTCCACATTTGATTGACTTCATCTACGCGTTTAGAACAACACAGCAGAATTCTCCAAGCGACAGTGGACCAGTCATAGTACACTGCAGGTAACATAAAAAGATACATGAATGGAATGTTTATATTTTATATATGTACAGTGCGGTGCAGACATACGAACGTACATTGCAAAGATACAGAAGTAGATGTAGATATGAATAAATTTTACATGTTACCCAGCAAACTCTAAACGTTTTGGTTGTTATGTCAGAAAATGGCGTCTACACAATGTTGCAGCAACTTTATTGGTTAATACATTTGCATATAAAACATTTTAGTAAGTAGTCCATTTGTGACCAGGGGCGGATTACTATAAGCGGTCTTTAGACGGTATTAACGGTTAGCCAGCTGTAATCGTGACGTTGCTACTGGTCTGTGGTTATAGACCATTGCTATACCACGGTCAACCAGTTAGCCATCTTAAATTTTAAAGCATCTCAGCATTTGTAATAGGTCTACGGCGTTTATTTATGTTCATTTCGATACATTTGCGTGTTTCGAGCACGCACAATGTCGCCCTCAATCTTACGTTACCAGGGAGTGCTTGTTTGCGTTTCAGTACCTAAAGCGGTCTTAGGGAATACTGTTTTATAGCAATGGTCAGAAACTACTCTCACACTATCAAGACCTACACTGCGATTGGTACACGACCGACACCGTCGTGGCCTGGTCGTGATAGTGTGATAAGAGCTAAGAGCAACTTGCTCGTGACAAGGCAGTCGTAGTCGTTCTCACACGTGTAATTATTTGGCTAAAGTGGCCATTATTACTTTAAACCACTCGACTTTACCTTTACGCGTAACAATTAGAAGCGTCGATTTACAATGCACCCTCTCTTTAGAACATAAGGAACAAATTAACGTACTTGGTAACGAAATTTGGCGTAACGCGAACACCCTATCACAGATCCATGGCAACGACTAGGATGCCCTCCCCAAAACTGATTACTTTTCTGTGCCAAATTGACGCTTCTATTTGTTGCGCGTAAAATCGCGAAGAAAGGCTATATTTTGTTTATTAGATCTTTGCTTTAAACCAGTAAATGACTAGAGGGCAGGTCCTACTTCCTGTTGGATACGACCGGGTTGGTATGATCGCAGCGCTAGGTCGCGATAATGTGAGAGTTGCTTTAGAGGAATGACTTTAGTAAGACCCTAAGTGATAACGCCGGCTTTATTCGAGGAGTTAATACTACTGGTAAGTCGAATGGCCGAGCGGTTAGGAGGGGCGCTGCAAGCTATAGCCATAATATCGGCGCTGGTTCAAATGGCACGCTCGCCTATGGTTCTGGTGGTAGAACAAAGTCTTCTCGGATAAGGACTATAAACCGTAGGCCCAGTGTATACAATGGCTCTTGTGCACTATAAAGAACCCAGTACATCCTTCGAGACGAGTAGGGGGTTACCCCGGTGTACTGGAACAGACAGCCCCTGTGGTGGACGACGAGAGTTGCTGGTACCGGGTAGCGCAGACACGAAGGGATGCTTAGAGGCGAAGAAAGTCATTGATCGAGTTCCTAGTGCACATATCAAGCGCCCTGAGCATCTTGCATTTGATGGATATGTGCGCTATATAAAACTACATTATTATTATTATTATTATTGTTATTATTATTATTATTATTATTATTATTACCAGTTAGACCATTTTATAGCAATCCACCCCAGCTCTATCAATACCATTAAGAGTTAATCTTTATTAATGACCTAATATATTTCTTTATTAATGACCTAATATATTATTCTGAAAACAAGATAAATATTTTATCATAATGTGTACTGTTATTCGTATGGATTGCCAACACAAGAATCGTGTATCGGTTTATATTTGTCTGTGATTATTGTACTTAAATAGTGACCTAGTACTAATATAGTAACTGATACTCTGAAAAAAAACACCAATCTAAGGAATAGTGTCTCATGTTTTAATGTATTCATAATAGATAAATTCCCTTTACATACCATCTGAATCATCAAGTTTCAAAAGTTATTTGGGTGAGCCTCAAATAGTTTGTTGGTCATTTGTATAATTGTATACGATTATATGATTACTTAAATTCATTACTTGTTTCAGTGCTGGAGCTGGAAGGACAGGTACAGTTATTGTAATCGCTTCAATGTTGGACATGGCAAAGCAAGAAGGGAAGGTAGACGTGTTTAATTTTGTGCGGAGCATGAGGGAGAAACGTATCCAAATGGTTCAGACCGAGGTTGTATATCGGGGTTTTTTTAAGTTTCTAATGCAGTATGTTACAAACATGAACCATGGCTATTTTTATTTTTATTTTGACTGATTCTACCTATTATTATTCATTTTAATTCATCAAATTTATTCTTGTTTGATTTTTGGCTACGTCTTTAATTTAATTTGCATAATTACGATCAATCAACCAACATGGCAATATTCATGGCAGAATCCAATGTAAAGTGGCGCTATAAGAACAGAAAGTTTACACTAGTAAACAGTGTATCATCATTATTATAATTATCATTATCATCATTATCTTTAAATTTCTATCCCATACTAAAACGTCTATAGGAGCAATACAGATTCATCTATGCCGTTTTACTTGAAGAGTTGTTCTGTGGACAGACACAAATTCCAGTAACTGATTTATACCAAGTAATCCATGAACAGCAACAGGTGCATGGAACGCACTCAACTTTTGAGTACCAGCTAAAGGTATGTTACTGCTGTACTAGTACGGTTTATAATTAACCTACATTAATTCCTACCGATAGATATTATACTTTAGGTATAATGTATTACGTGACCAAAACACTGCCAATAGAAAGTATATGTGAATTTCAGTTTTTTTTTTCTAATTTGGTTACGATCTATACAGTTTTAAAAACCCAATAATGAGACTACTATGATCATCATCATCTTGTTTTCTGTCTACTTGCATGCTGAAAACAGTTAATTTCTCAATTTTTTCTATCATATGCTTTTTCATGATTGTATAGCTTTTATTTGTTTCCTTTTTGTCATCTAAAACCTTTACTCTCTTTTTACCTCATGGCCGCTTTCCTTCTATACTTCATTCAATAATATCTCTCCAAAGACCGTATATCCTCTACTTATACTTCCGATCCATTTCTTATTTCTGTCTTTTATTGTAGCTATTAAAGTTCTTTTCTCATTTACTCTCTTAAGTACTTGTTCATTTGTTAGTTTGTTTTTACAAATAATTTTCTCAATGTCCGCATTTGAAAAACCAGTCTATCTATTTCAATTGTTCTCATTGTCCAGGTTTCATAACCATATAGCTGTCTCTTATACACATCTAGATGTGTATAAGAGACAGCAATTAGAAGCGTCCGATTTACAATGCGCCCTCTCTTTAGAACAATTAAGAAACAATTATTGATGTAATTGTTAAACTTTCGCGTAACACAAACACTCTATCTCAGATCCATGGAAACGAATCCAAAAAAACCCTCTCCCTAAAGTGATTACTTTTCTGTGCCAAATCAACGCTTCCATTTGTTACGCGTAACTCGGGGAAAATGCCATCTTGTGTTTATAAGATCTTTGTTATAAAGTCAAATGAAGCCTTTTTAGCTTGTGTGAGCCATCAAATTCAAGTGGACAAGAAAAACAAACGTTTCTTACTGGTTGCAACATCTGAACTCTCGGGAAAAGTCTTTCACCAAGAGCTTGTTTAGGTGCTGTAAGTGGTTCGTGTTCCCTTTCTTCAGGGTTGCTACTGTCCCGTGGATAGAATGGCCTAGCATCGTATGATAATTGGTTGCGATCACGTTCTCGGTCAAGACTGGAAAGTAAGCGGCCACTATGTCTTTCACCGGTACCATGACGTCGTATTCTTTCCCGTTCCCGTTCTCTACTTCTCAGTCTTTGAATTAAACCTTGAAAACACACATACATAT